ATCCCAATGAAGAAGAAGATACCCCTATCCTTGTCCTTGTTGGTACATCTGAGGGCAGAGGCAGAAGTGGAGGCAGAGGCCAAAGCAGAGGGTAGACTAGAGACAGAGTTAGCCAGGCAGATGATAATATAGACCAAGGAGAATCAAATTATGAAAATATGAACCAGGAACAGATACCTCAACCAGAATATATGACTAGAGACATGTTGGCCGAGGAAATGGGAAAGCTAAGGGAAACCTTGACTTCCATTATGAGGATTCCTGCCAGAATCGAGACTGGCAGAGTTGAAATTAATCCACCAGTCCCGGTTGTTAACAATAAAAATGGAGATATCAAGATGTTCTTGACTTGTAAATCGTCAACCTTCTCGGTGGAAAGGGATCCAATTAAAGCTATGTGTTGGGTCAAAAAGATGGAATTTGTGTTCAACACCATCTGATGTGCAGAAACAGACAAAGTCAGATTTGCAGTTTCTCTTTTGAAGTCAAATGCGTTATTTTGGTGGGAGATATAATCCTTAGCCAGACCTGACATCTTACAAACTATGACGTGGACAGAAGTTGTTAATAGATTCAAGGAACAGTTTTTTCCTAAAGGATGCCATCAGGCAGATGGAAAGGATTTCTTAAAGCTAGAACAAGGAACCAGAACTGTAAGGGAGTATACAGAAAAGTTCATCGAGTACTCACGATTTGCAAAACACTATATCTGTTCATAATCAAGAAAAGTGGAAAGATAATTTGGGGATTGAAGCCATCAATCCGAGAATTTGTAATAGCCATGAATCCGACTACATTTTCAATGACTGTCGATGCAGCAGAAGTGACCGAGAGGAATAAGAACCGCCAAGAGGAAGGAAAAGTGATGGAAAAGAGGAAATGGGAAGGTTCATCAACATGATACAGAGGACCAAAATCTGTAAAGTATGGAAATAGGCCCGTATAGAGATTTAGTGAGAAAGCTTGTTCACGATGTCACCAGATTCATCAGGGTGACTGTAAAACTGATCTGAGGAAATGCTACCAGTGTGATGAAGCAGAACATCTGTCCCGAAATTTCCCGATGACTAAGAGGTGTTTTAATTGCAATTCGTCAGATCATCTTAGGCCAAACTGCCCTCAATTAAAAGCTCCACAACTTACCATGGGAAGTAATACTTCAAGTGCCCGTGGAAGACCGAGCATGAGTAGAAGAGGATCAGGAGGGGCGCGGGGTCGATCTTTTCAAATGACCAAGCACGAAGCCGAAACTACACCCGATGTAGTGACATGTACCTTCCTCGTCAATTCATTACATGATAAAGTGTTATTTGCCTCGGGTGCAAACTTTTCGTTTCTATCTTCACCTTTTGCTCTATGTGCTTGCATGAATTCTGTGCCACTTGACAATAAGTTAGTAGTTGATATTGCTAATGGTCAAGTATCTGTGAATTGTGTATTGATAACTGCACTATTATGATTGATGGATGTGAACTACCAATCAGACTGTTTCCCATGCCTATGAAAGAGTTTGATGTGGTAGAGGGATGGATTGGTTGGCAGAAAACCAGGCCAGCAATGTTTGTGATAAAAAGATGATTAGAATAATATTGCCAGACAGAGGGATAATTGTTATTTATGGTGATCAACAGGATCATCGTACTGGTCTGTCATCAATGATGAAATCCAGAAAGTGTATACAAAAGGGGTGTCAGGGATTTCTAGCTTATGTAATAGATACCAAGAAAGAGAAGGGAAAGCAAGAATTAATTCCGATTGTTAGTGACTATCCTGAAGTCTTTCCAGAAGACTTACCCGGTCTACCACCAGATAGGATTATTGAATTTGGGATTGATTTAATGCCCGGGGCAGCGCCTATAGCCAAAGCACTATATCGATTAGCTCCATCTGAACTTAAAGAATTGGTTACACAGTTGAAAGATTTATATGACAAAGGATTTATCAGACCAAGTACTTCACCATTGGGAGCTCCAGTTTTGTTTGTGAAAAAGAAAGACGGTTCTATGCGTATGTGTATCGACTATCGGGAATTGAATAAATTAACCATGAAGAACAAATATTCGTTGCCAAGAATTAATGATTTGTTTGATCAACTAGTGGGAGCTAGTTACTTCTCGAAGATTGATTTACGATCAGGCTACCATCAACTGAAAGTTAAAGAGGAAGATATTACTAAAACTGCTTTTCGAACCAGGTACGGACATCACCAGGCCATTTCTTGTCACAACCCACCAGCTACTCATTTATTTCTCAACAGATAAGTGTTTCAATAACACTTGGGGCACGCAGCTCACAATCTATCAATTTCTCATTCGGAGAAAGTTGATATTGAAACAGAATGATATATGTCCCCCCTTCATGTCTTTTTGATCACTAATTGAGTCTGATAAATTTGTGTAGTCCACACGGTTTATCTTTTTTAGTCTAAACAGAAGCATTAGTTGCTTTATCTTTCTACATTACACAGATTTTGCATTTTACATGTTATTTTGCCAAAACATTTATATGTATGCTATTACTAAGCTATCAATGATTGAATGGAAGACCTAGTGAGATGAGCATCAAAAAGTCTCATATATACAATACATCTGTTGTACTGAGTATATCTGTTATACTCACAGGCCAATCTTTTTATAAGATTGAAAACAATTTCATTCGTTGAAATTGGTTGTTATCTTCTCATACCCTTAATCTGAAAAAGATTAAATAAGTGGATTTGAAAAGATCTACTTACAATTTCATGAATTGACGGCTTATGCGGAGGATTTCATTCATTCTTGTGTATGATGGAATGATTCTCATTTTATCATAAGGGGGAGTGTAATAATGAATGAAATATCCAATTCCGAACATTATAAAGGGGGATCTGATGTAAAGATCAACGGGGAGTAACTTCAAATATGGCAAAATACTCAAAAGAAGTGTGACTGGAGATGATTACAAAGATTATTCTGATGCTACAATGTCTGAGAGTTGTTGAATGTGAAGATCCATTTTTACAACAGTTTATTAAAGATCAACTCTGAAGTTTGTTATTGTTTCTGTTCTACATTGTCAAAAGAAAAGATCATCGTGGTTCTACATTCGAGGGGGAGAATGTTAGAAGATCTTTCTCAATAAATGATTGTCTGAAGATTTCGTGTTGAAGATTGTTTTGAAGAAGACATAGTGTGCTTAAAGCATCAAAGTTCAAACGAGACTCAAAGCACGCAACTTCTTTCAAGTCTGAATATAAAGGGGGAGAATGTTAGGAATGAAATTCTGTGTAAAATTGTATTCGTCTTGAAAGATAAAATTGTCTATAATTGTATAAAAGTCATCGTGTTTGACTTTTCTAGAGATAGTTTGATTTTGACTATAGGGCTCAAGTTTGACCCTATATATAGTTTGTCTTAGTGTAAATCTTGGTAGGATTCTCATTTGTATTATTTGATTCGTATATAGAGTTTGACCACATTTGATGAGTTGACTTTCTTTCTCTCTACTTCTTCTAAGTTCTTAATAGAAAATACAGATCTGCCATTGTTCTTGAAGAAATTACATGAAGATTGATTGAAGAGGACTCACAGTAGAAAACAGTAATGATGAGGTTACTATTAATGTTGTTGATGAGATAAAGGAATATTATGATTGTAGATACCTTTCGGCATGTGAAGCTTCATGGCATATTTTTTGGTACGATGTTTATTACAGGACTCCTTCTATTTTAAAACTTCCTTTCCATCTTCTGAGACAACAACAAGTGGTATTTGGTGCTGAAGATGATATTGAAAATGTCCTAAACAAACCATTTGTGGCGTCCTCAATGTTCTTAGCTTGGATGAATTGTAATCAAATTTATCAAGAAGCACGAGAACTCACTTACGTTGAATTCCGTACAAAGTTTGTGTGGAAATTGGAAGAGCGACGTTGGGATCGAAGGAAAAAAGGCTTCTCTATTGGACGGATCCATTCAGTTTTTCCTACTCTAGAAGAAGCATATTATTTAAGAATTCTTTTGAATAAAGTGAAGGATCCTAAATCATTTGAAGATATTCGTACAGTAAATGGGAATATATTTTCTACTTTTAGAGAAGCATGTTATACTCTTGGACTTTTAGATGATGACAAGGAATATATTGATGCCATTGAAAAAGCAAATTTAGCCGCATCTGGTTTTTATTTACGTTTCTTATTTGCAACCATACTGATTTCAAACAGTCTATCTAGACCTGAGTTTGTTTGACAAAAACACATGACAATACTTAGCAGATGGCATTCTCTACAATCAACGAATTGGTTTAAAGTCTACAGGTATGTTAATTATATATTATAAGTATAGATTTATACAACTATTATCTAAATACTAAAGAATTTATTATTTTTGTATTTGTTAACTATTATGTTCTTTCTTAAATTGTATTTAAGTTTAATTTTATGTATTAATTGTTTACATTTATATTATACTTTTTACAGATTTATCCCTCAATGAAGAACAAGTGAAGACCTGACATTGTTTGAAATTGAAAAGATTTTACTCCGTAACAATTTCACCCTGAGAAAATTCACCACTCTGGCTTGTCCTGATAATGATTGTCTTGAATCTTCAAACAACCGTTTGATTGCAGAAGAGCTAGATTATAACCATCATAATTTACGTGATGAGTTTTAGAAGCTCGTAAATGCTCTAACAAATGAGCAAATAGATGTTTATGATGAAATCATGACAACTGTTGAAAAGAACAAAAGTGGTGTGTTTTTTGTTTATGGGCATGGTGGAACAGGTAAAACATTCCTATGGAAGACATTGGCTGCATCAAAAAGATCTAAAGAAAAAATTGTTTTAAACGTCGCTTCCAATGGTATTGCTTCTTTACTTCTTACCGGTGGTAGGACGGCACACTCTCGTTTTCAAATCCCTCTAATTATCAATCAAGATTCTCTTTGTCACATAAAGCCAGACAATGATGTTGCGAAGTTAATAAAAAAAGACTACTTTGATAATATGGGATGAGGCACCAATGGTTCATAAGCATGCATTTGAAGCATTGGATAGAAGTATGAATGATATTTTCAATAGTCGACGCATTAATGACTCGCAGATGCTTTTTGGTGGCAAGGTAATTGTTTTTGGAGGATATTTCAGACAAATTATGCCAGTTATTCCCAACACAAGTAGACAAGACATTGTTAATGTGTTGTTAAGTTCATCTTACATTTGGGAAAAATGCAAAGTCCTAAAGTTAACTAAGAACACGAGGCTAACTGCAAACAGTGAATGTTCTGAAATTGAACAAACAAGGGTTTTTGCAAACTGGATTTTGGACTTAGAAGAAGACAAAGTTGGAGGTGATAATGATGGTGAGACAGTTATTGAGATACCTCATGATCTTCTCATTACTGATTCAATGGATCCTATATCTGCATTAATACAATTTGTATATCCCTCAATTCTTGAAAACATCAACAATTCATCTTATTTTCAAGAAAGGGCAATACTTGCACCAAAACATGAAGTCGTTCAAGAAATAAATGATTGTATGCTATCATTGTTCATAGGAGACGAAATAGAGTACTTAAGTTCAGATATGCTATGTGAATCAGAGCAACTTCACGATCAGTTTGATAAAACTTTGTACTCTACCGATGTCTTAAATGGTCTTAAATTATCAGGTATACCAAACCATAAGATATTACTAAAAGTTGGTGTTCCTATCATGTTACTAAGGAATATTGATAAGAAACCCGGATTATGTAATGGAACTAGAGTACGAGTGTTATCATTGGGAAATCGGGTGATAGAAGCACATATTATATCTGAAAGCAATATTGGAAGCCGGACATTTATTCCAAGAATGTCTTTGACACCTACAGACAAAATGATTTCATTCAAATTTCGAAGTAGACAGTTTCCAGTTGCTGTATGTTTTGCCATGACCATAAATAAAAGCCAAGGACAATCATTATCAAAAATTAGTTTATTTCTAAGACAACCGGTCTTCACTCATGGTCAGTTATATGTTGCTTTATCTAAAGTTAAAAGCAAACAATGTTTGAAAGTATTAATTATAGATGATGATGATATTATTGGCAATAAAATAAATAATGTTGTATATTAGTAATCTATGATACATGGTTGTTATTCTATTAATATTTGGGCAAAATGCATAAAATAGCAATCTACTTTCATAAATTTCTTTATTATAGCATTGTACTTTCAGTTTTTCTTATTACAGCAATGTACTTTCAAATTATTTTTTTATTAGGACATTGTACTTTGAAAAATTTACCCATTATAGCATTGGATAACCTTTTGATTTAAATTTACCTATTATACTAGGTTTTCATGCCACCTCATTGTCCACATGTACTATAGTGATGTGATTTTCCTACTACATCATTGTACTTTCAAAATTATTTTATTATAGCATCTACTATTTCTTATTAAACACTGTATTTTTAATTTTAATATTTAGATATTTTACATGTTTTTTTAATAAATGTATTAAATGAATTAAAAAAATTCTAAATTATTCATTAATATACCAATATCAATAAAACTAGTAGAACATAACTTATCTCGCTAATATTTTTTTAAAAATATGTGTTTTTTGAAAAATAGAAAATAAGAATTGTTTTTTTTTACCAAAAAATATTATCTTTACTTGACGAATATATTATATTTGTTTAAAAACTTTTTACTTGACGTATAAATATATTAAATTAATTAAATTTTTTTGAAGTATTTATTAATATAACAATATTAAAAAAATTGTAGATAACAATTTATTTCGTTAATTTTTTAAAGAGAACTTTAAAAGATATGTATTTATTTGAACAACGTAAAATAGGAAAAGTTGTCTTTTTTACAAATAAAATATATCTCGAAAATAATGTTGCATATTTATTTAATAAATATTTTACTCTAAGAATATTTAATTTAAAT